AGGCTTCTTGTAAATGGAAGAGCTGGGATCTTTACCCAGGGAACTTGATTCTAGAACCTTTAGGAATGGTGGCCTAGAAGGTGGACCTTGAAAATTAGATGTTGTTTGGATTTTGGGAGACTGGTGGTAATTGGGGGTGGAGGGAGGAAGGACATTAAAGGTCAAGTCAAAGACACTTAGGAGACAGGTAGGTGGAGGGTTCCTGAGCTGTCCTGGAGCGGAAGGGAAGGAGGAAAAGTAGAAACGTCATTTTGGGAGGAGGGGCTGGGACAGAGCCTTGAATGCTGTGATAAGAAGTGTGGCTCTATTTGAAAAGCAGTGCTGGGTCAGCAAAGGTTTTCATTTAGGACTGTACAATCTCAGAATTCAGATTTAGGAAGGTCAGTCTGTGAGAAGGGTCTAGGATCAGCGAGACCGTCTATTCAGGGTCAAGCCCAAGTGCCAAGAGCTGGAGACTAGGGTTCCCCGTCTCTAGCTGAGGATTCTGGGCCTCAAAATCACCCTAAAGGAGTAGAGGTTTTATTTAAAAGAGTCCCCCAAGGGAATGTCATTCAAGCCAAAGAGGAAAGCTAATTTTGAATCAAGAAACATACTCTTCCAAGAATGGCTTGTTTACTTGATTTGAAATCTTGGTGTATTACAGAATGTGTTTTTCCAAGCCTGTATTTTCTTTGTCCAAATTGTTACTATATCAGCTGGACTACTTTATTTTTGACCTGTATTCAGATGGTGCTGACATGACTAGAAGTCAGCAAAGCCTTCTGAATCTCCAGCTGGCTGGAGAATCTCTTGCAAAGTTAAAGATTGCTTTTCAATTAATAAGGGAATGCACGGATCAGCATCCTCCAGCTCAGAAGTCAGTGGAAGGAAAAGGGAGGTCTTCTCTTCTTCTATCCCTGGAGTTCAGTGTGATAATGGGGAAAATATAGATGCTGATCTGAGCCAACTTAAGTTGATTGGGGAGATTCGGGAGGCAGGAACATGTGATTTCATTTACAATCACATCTCCCCTGAATTCACTCTCATCCATCAGCCACTGTCAGCTACATGCTGGCTGGGAGCTAATTTCAGTTTTGCTGTTACCTTTCTAGAAGCAATCAATTCTTCTGACACTTAATAATTGCATGATGGTGTGGCATCCAAGGTCAAGGCTCATCAATATCTTAAAATATACCACTAGGGGGTCATTAATAATAATGAAAATAATAATAGAAAAGTACTAAAATATTCACTTGCCTTGAGTCTGGTTTCTTTTAGACTCTTTAATATCTTTCATAATTTAAGACCCATTAATTTATGTTAATCCCAACATAAATTGGGAGCCAATGTCTTGTATTTGCAAGAGAATTGAAGTCCAGGGATTGGAGTCTAAAGTTGGTGTGACCTAAGGTGAAATTATTCCCCATCATGTACCTCAGTTTCTGTATCAAGGTAAGGAAACATCTATACCTGCTGCACAAGGTTTTGAAGATAAAAGGACTTTGGCAAGTGAACAAACAACAAAAATGCTTTAGATTGTTGTTACCTTTCTTGTCTTTTGGCATTTTATTTTTTTAGATTTATTTATTTATGCATACAAGAACTGGGGTATAAGCCAGAGTTGTGGGGTGTGAGAGGTTTCACCAGAGAGTGGAGAGCACAACAGGGCTGTACAATCTGAGTTCAGATGTACTGAACAACAGACAGATGTACTGAAATACACTGCTGAGAGGAGCAGCGGGGGAGGCAGGAGAGATCTGCTGGGCCATGTGGGTTCCTCCTTGGCGGGCAGAGATTCGAACTCATGCTGCAGTGGCTGGCGATAGCTGGATAGCACTGTCTTTAACCCAAGCACCAGCAGGGAGGCCCGGCATATATTTTTTGATTAAAAAATTTATTCCAATATCAAATGTAAGCAGAGTTAGGTTATTACTGTAGAGGAGGAAGCACAAAGAAAATACTTGACTCTCAGCCGGAGGGTGGGGCCTAGGATGTGTGTGTGGGAGGGGCCTCTGCCAATCATCAATGATTGACAAAGAAACAAGCACCGAAGAGGCCCACTTTTGCTTAACTACCATCTACCAGTGGCTCTCCCATTACATTCCTTTCTGTGATATTTAATACACCTGCTATCATTATGTAAACATATTTGGTTAAAATATTTTGAAAAGGCATCACTGGAGAATGGACTTGTTGAGCAACCCTTTCCTTGCAAACCAACTCTTAACCTCCTACTTTATCACTATCTTTGCTCCCTTGCCCTGAAGCATCATGTACCCAGAGGGCCAGCTCCCATGCGATGCCCTTGGTGCTGGCCCATGAGCCACACTTTTGAGAGCAGGTGTTATCTGATGACTTCCAACTGTTCTCCACAGAGCGCCCTCACTGTTCTCAATGAGCTCATTCTCGTCCATTTCCGACTACAGGGAGAGGCAACGTGGGGCTCACTGTGACTCCCTGTGCGGCGAGGAGAAGCAGGTGTCCTGCTCTGTCTCCTAGGTGGGTAGTGCTGTGGCAGGTGAGGAACCTATGCAGGGAGGCTGACTAGTGGCAGAATTCTCTAACATAGAAAAAATTGCTTCAATTTCCGTCCTTTCAAAGAGACTTCAGATGGTATTTTCCTTTTTCTTTCTGCCTTATTTCATTGAGCATGACCCCTTACAGTCCAACCATGTTGCTGCAAATTGCATGAGTTTATCTTTTTTGATTGCTGAATAATATTCCATTGTGTATGTACCACATCTTCTTGATCCTGTCATCTGTTTTTGGGCAAAATATATAAAATTAAAAAAATAATAAATAAAAAAGAGAGACTCAGATGATGCAGGAACACTTAGAAACAAGGTTGAGAGCACAGCCAGCTGGAGTCTGCTGCAGGTCTGAGTCTACAGGGAAAGCTAAGGACCAGAGGCACTTCCTATTCCTTTCTCTTGTCTCTGCTTCTCTTCATTTCTCCAAGTTTCTCTCTTTGCTAGAATAGAGACAAGGATTGATGTTTGGCAAAATCTTCTGTGCTGAATCCATTTCCCATATGCCCTTTTCATGTTCATTCTCAAAAAGCAAGTCATAAGCATTTGTGTTTTGCAACAGTAATGATGATAGGTCTAAACAATGTATTAAAATCCCTTAATCTGTGTATGGGTAGAAGGAATACAAATTTATTTATTTTAAAGATTTATTTATTTTATTTATACAAGCACTGGGTACAGTCAGAAGCGCGGGAGGGTGAGAGAATTCACCAGAGCCAGAGTGGGGAACAGAACAGGCAGACCTACGAAATATACTGCTGAGGGGAGCAGCGGGCATGGCAGGAGAGGTCTGCGCGCCATGTGGGACCCCTGCCGGCGGCCAGGGATGTAACCTGGCCTGCAGAGGCTGCAGGCAGCTTCGCAGCCCAGTGCTCAACCACTGCTCCACCAGGGGAGGCCCAGAAGGAATGCAAATTTAGAAGGGAGGATACGGAATGGGATGATACATCATATAGATTTTAGGTTTCTATTAATAAAATGCAGCAATTGTGTTCAGTGTGTTGTCAAATATATTTATCTCCCACATCATTTTTTTTTTTTGTTAAAGATTTATTTATTTATACAAGTACTGGGTACAGTCAGAAGCGTGGGAGGGTGAGAGAATTCACCAGAGCCAGAGCTGGGAACAGAATAGGCACACAGCTGAGGGGAGCAGCGGGTGGCAGGAGAGGTCTGCACACCATGTGGGACCCTCGCCGGTGGCTGGGGATCAAACTGGCACTGCAGAGGCTGCGGGTAGCTTTGCAGCCCAGTGCTCAACTGCTGCACCACCGGGGAGGTCCTCTCAGCATTTTTAAGAAACATGCATGATTTTTAATTCCTAAGAGAGCTTGGGGATCAAGGGTTCCACAAGATTTAGCTCAATCCGTTTTCATGTGTAATATGAATAAAATATACATATAGTATAAAAGTTGGGTAGCAGAACAAGAAAATCCTTACGAATTTCCCACACTGGGATAGAAAATGGACCCTATGGCCCAGACTAGAAATCTCTGTAGACTCTGTTAGAGGAAGCCACCTGGTTGCTTTTGAATGACTCGAGGGGAATTTGATACTGTTTAAGGAGCAGGTGCCTGCCTGGTAAGTCCCTGCCAGGCACATTTCCACCTTACTTTGAGCACTGGTCCTGCAAGATAAGTATTAATCCCTTCTGCTCCCAACCCCCATTTTACAGATGGGGAGGCAGAGGCCCACAGACTGTTGCAAGAGCACACAGTTAGCAAGGGGCCAGTCAAATATAAATCCAATCTGAATCAGAATGCTTTGTTCTTTATACTGCAGGCTTTTGCTTCAGTAGAGGGGGTATGGAGAATACTGATTCTGTTAACTCTTCCCTTAATTCAAATGTTATAGCCACAGGCCTGCATATTTTGCGTGATAGTGATCTTGAGTCAGTCTTACTTAAAAGAATAAAGCCCTTATTTTTGGAAGAAAAAAGTGAAATCCTAAAACAATCTTCTGGTGACATTTATCTTGTAACTCGAACAATCATATCACCATAAGAGGTACAAATAATTCTAGGGCTTAGAAAAAAAGTCGGGTGGAAGGCTTTAAGTTGCTTCAACATCATGCTCTCAACTACTCTCCAAGCTTTGGAATAATGCAAACAATACTAGAGCAATAACATTCACAGGAGAATTCATTCTGCTTTTCTATTGTACATCTGCTTTTACAATATAATGTTTCCATCAGTTATTTCATTTTACCCTCACACATTTCCAGAAAGCACAGAATTAATAAAGGCAAGAATTAATGATTCTTCATTTAAGAAGAGCAGAGACTCAGTGATTTGCTCCAAGTCCTACAGACAGCAGGTGATGAGGCAGGACCATCCATCATGTCCTGGGAGGGTCAACCCAGTGCTTTCTCAGAACCCTCCCTCCTGCACTGCTGCAGCTCCTGCACTGCTGCAGGATCATCATGTCCTTGAGCTTTGCCTTTGGTGTATGATATTTTTTAAAGCTGGCAGTAAAGGTGTTGGCTTCTCATTACCTTGTGTGAATGATGCACGGTGCTGGCCGCAAGGGAAGGGAAAGCTGCCAGGATGCGAATTTTGCTGCTACATTTTCCACATTTAACATTTGAAGTTGGTGACAAAGTGAAATTGATTAACGGTACAAGTAGCTTGTTTTGCTAAAAATATACAAAATGTTATCTGCTTTGAACAAATGAGGACATGCTTGCTTTTCCCAGTAACATTAAAGGATTCTAGTTTCAGTCTAATGCTCTTCTCTCGGATTAGTTCCGACACATGAAGTTGACTCTGGGGAACATTTTATATCCATTTCCAAAAGGACTTTAAGGATAAGGTGTCTCTGAGAAAAAGACCCTTTTTTCAAGTCTAGTTTTGGATATTTGTGGTAGATATTCAAGCTGTGCCCTTACTTTTCTAAAACCTTGTTAGGAGTTTCTTCCAACATCACTAGCCAATTCTTGGGCATTATTTCAAGTAAAGCCATTTAGAACGTCACCACTGAAATGTTTAGTCTTGTGATTTGTTTCCTGGTAAACATTTACAAACAATTACTACTGCAGGTACTAGAATACTTAACTTTCTGGACTCTTCTAGCTTTATCTGACTTTTAAAAGCATAAAGGAAATGAGTATTTTCTCTCTCTCTCTCTCTCTCTCTCTCTCTCTGTGTAGCTCTTCAAACTGAGAACTTAGCAAAAGTTGCCAACTTTATTTTTGACCTTGGTTTTCATATGGAAACACCATATACATTATCTAGCAATAAAATTTTGTGTGGTTTAACTTCTGCCATTTTAATTCGAGTCTTGTGTTCTATGTGTATCTTTGTTTTGAAAACCTCTGATAGCCAAGTCTTTCCCCAGTGAACTTTGGTAATTTTCCTGTGTGCAGTTTAAACATGTGGACAGATGGTTCAAACAATTTATGATTCTTTTTGAAGTAACAAATCCATGAGGTCATCCAACCACATGTCCATCTGGAAACCTCATACGATTTCCCTCTCTGTGTCTCTTACTGTCCTCATGCAGTTACAGCCAAATCTTGCAAATTCAAACTCTGAATTCCTCTCCTTTCTTTCCTCACCACCCAAGTCAGCGTAGGCCTCACCTTCCCGGGCCGGCACTGCTTCCACAGCTTCCCCTGTAACTGCAGGTGTCTGGTTATCACCTTGTCCCAAGTCATCTGTTTTGCTCCATTGAGTTACTTAGCCTTGGGCATAAAACATCAAGAACACCATGAGCAGCCCTCCACCCCCACCCCATCCCAACGTCTCTGTTGCCTGCTTATATGGAAAGATAAACAAGGCTGGATACTAGTCAAAGTAAGGTGGGCGGACTTGAATCAGTCATACTCTATTGCAATAGAGAAAAGGGATCAGCGTGAACTGAATTCAGTTTTGCTTTATACAAACAGAACTGGGGGAATCAGGGAAAAGAGGGGTGTGAACAGGGCCTCAGCATATTCAGGGAAGTGAAAAAATTATAGAGAATGGGAAAGGCTGGCTTGATCTTGTCTCTGATAACAGGCACCGGGCATAGGGGCGGGGGGACAGGATCCTCTCTGCAGGTGTTGGCTGGGACCAACAGTGCATTCCCTTGGCAGTTTTGCATTTCCCCAGACTGGTGTTTTAGGAGGGACTAGGGTTATGCTTGGGATGCAGCCTTGAAATGTTGGAAATGATGCCGGTGTTTGTTCTAGTCTTCATAGCCCAAGGTTGAGAAGAAGCCTCAGAGGATCCAGATTGGAGCTTGGTCAAAGGGAGAATGGTTGTGGCAACAAAATCCACATCTTGAGTTTGGTAGATAGGACATTCTGTATTTAGATTTCCATTAGTTTCCCACACACTCCCATGACTTATGCTTCAACCAAGTTGATTTTCTTGTTCCAATGCATGTACTCTCCCAGGTCTTATTGCTGAGTCCTCTTCCTGGATATCCCTCCTCCTGTAGAGGAAAGTGTTATCACCACTCCATGAAGTTGTTCCAACTCCAGAGTCAAGCATCCACTTTCCCCTGGTTCCTCAGAGCCCTTTGCTTATTATTCTAACGTGCAAACTCTACCTTGTTCTGTTTCCTCACATGTTGTTCATGCCCCAAACTGAGCACTCAGAGGGAGGGCCCACATTTCTCCTCATAGTCAGCATGTAGTCTTCCACCTGTTTGGTTCTGCATAAGTGATGTTTCCATGAATGGCTGATTGGAATATTGTCAATTCCTGGAAAAGTCAGCATCGACGTTACACACACTATCTGCACTACCAGTGTCACGTCTAAGCATCTTTCACTAGAGAAAAAAAGCTGTAGATGGAATAAGGCAGAGTTGAATGGAATAAATCACAGACAAAGAAGAAGAGAGCATGTAGGAGAAACTTCCTATCATATTATAGAACCTGGATCCAGCCTGTCCTGTTACAGCATTTCTGTCTTTTAGACATAAAGTCCAGATGTGCAGAAATTGCAGTGTATTCACCAAAACCAAGTCTTCTTTGGTGCACACAGCTAGACTGTACGTCCCTGTCATCTTTGCAGCTGGGGATGGCCTTGAGTTCTCACCAGATGCAGCCCATCTAACCTATTTCTAGGCCTGGCCTGTAGACACATCCCAGGAGGGATCTTTCACTATTTTTTCCCCATCCTCTGGCTAGGAGGCTGAAGAGATGGGGGTGGGGGCCCTTCCTCTCATTGGGGTATCATGAGCAAAAATGAATGTGCGTTGTGTTAAAATGAACCGAGATTTGGAATTTCATTTTTTAAGCAACTAGTGATTAATACCTTTAACATATCTAGAAGTTAACTGCTCATTACATAAGCTAATTTAGGTTGCATGTCTGTCACTTGTAATTAGAAGGGTCATGTTTACAGCATTTGGCCACTTGAATGAATTAAAGTGAGGGAAGCGAGTTGCAGTGGAAAATACTGGACTAAAATGAAAATATCCAAGTTCCCTGTCTTTGTCTTAGTTGTAATTTTCAATCAGTGCCATTTAGGTTTACATTTGTAAACTGACTTACTGTCTTGGGTCTGGCTTTTACCATGACTTTTGTTAGTCTGACTGACCTCCTGCTTCTGTGGTGCACTGCAGCATTTACTGGTTATCGGAGCAGTCAGGCCAGTGACTGTATTACATGGCCTTTCTAGTCAGAGATTACTTTGCTTCCAGTTACATGGAAAAGTCCCAGAAAAAAACCTTTAAGAACTTCCCAATTATTTTAGAAATTTTCACACATAAACAAGAGAATAAAATAACAAACTGCCCTGTACTCATTCTAGACCTTTACACATTATTGCAACATTTTGTCTTATTTCTTCTATTCACTGTCCTCCCTCTTAAAAAACAATTGAAATATACTGTGGTTGGTGCAACTCTTGAGTTTTCTCTAATTTATGTGACTGTAGTAGTTTGATGTGGCCATAAAACCACTACAAAATGTAGTGGCTTAAATACTTTTTTATTTAGCACAAGAGTGTGTGCTCTGGCAATTTGGGCTGGGCTTGGTGTGATCAGGTGCTAGGTCTACAGAAGTCTGCCTGGGTGTGGACTGGGGGCTTACCCGAGGTGGTCTGTCACCCACCTAGACTAACCTGGGCTGTTCATGCAGGAACCCCGACAAGGTTCTTGAGCCTCAGGCTTGCACTGTCCCAGCTGCTTTGGTGAACATTCTAGTTGTTCAAGGAAGTCACAAGCCCACTCACATTCAAGAGGTAGGGATGTAAACCTCAGTTTTTGATGGGAGAAGTTGCAAAATCAATTGCAAAGTACATGCAATATATGAAAGGAAATAATATAAACAGTTTAGTAACCTGCTTAGCGTGACAGCCTCTTATTCACATATAGTTTTATTTTTTTAAAGATTTATTTATACATACAAGAATTGGGGTACAGGCCAGAGGTGTGGGGGGGGTGGTGAGAGGATTCACCAGAGACAGAGAGGGGAACAGAACAGCAGACTGACTGAAATATACTGCTGAGGGGAGCAGCAGGCGAGTCAGGAGAGGTCTGCTGTGCCATGTGGGTAGCTCCCTGGCTGGGGATCAAACTTGAGTATCGGCAGTGGCTGCCGACAGCTTCATAGTGCTGAGATTCAACTCCTTGCATCACCAGGGAGGCCCAATTTTATAGAGTTTTAAATGTTGAAACTTCTACATCCCCTAAATGCTGTCAAAGAATGTTTCCTAAAGTTTGCATTTTAAAATCATACTCTTTATTCTTAGACTTGTAGAAACTGCTAACCTAGATTTTAGAAACACTTGGTCAGGAATTATTCTTGTATAAAAAATTTACCTAATTTCCTCCGAATAGCAAGTTTGATTCATGAGGGCATTGATTTCAAATACATCTTTACATAAAATATCTGAACAAAAATCCTTTAGGAACATAATAAAAAACTTTGAATAATTTCATTTCAGCATGTGAGTAACAGATTTCCCCCGTTTCAGGAGGGTTACAAAATGCACGGGACCATCAGGAAGGGAATTCAATTTGTCTGGTCCAAGGTAATAATTCAATAGGAGACAAAGAAAGCTATTTATAGAAGCTATCTGTAGACCAAGGTCCTTAATTTATGTGGTGGGAACATTTCTGCCAAATACATTGTAATAAAGAAAAATTATCAACAGTTAAAGACCTGGCCAGGTCAGCTTAATTTGGTAGTAAAGAGAGGTGACGAGAAGGTTGATAAAACAGCTGTAAATCATTACTGAATATATAGCTTTAATTGTCCAGCTTTAAGCGTCAGGCTTTTTTTGTGATGTGCTGGAGCAGCTCACCCGAGCTTGTAAGAACCAACTATACCTGGTCTTTCTAATTCCATGTTCCACTTGAAAGTGGCTGGAGTGGTAGTATTTACACCAGGGCAGTTGGCAAATGCTACACATGAGGGCCTCTTATATTTTGGTTTTGTTTTGGAAGAATAGTCATATTTACAGCATCCTCCTGGGCTTGACCCCCATGCAACATGACAGGTGCCACTTCCTAGGAACAGTCTAAGAGAATAATGAATCCAGGCCAGGTTTAGTAGGAGAACAAAGCAGAACTGTAAAACTGGGGCAAAAAAAAAAACAGAGAATAGGAATGAACTTTAAAATCATTTAGGGCTGTAGTTTTTAAACTTCAGTTGTTGTGGTTTTGGGGTATTTTTTTTTAAGTTTTTTTTTAAGATTTATTTATTTATACAAGCACTGCTGGGGTGCAGGCAGAGGCGCGGGAGGGTGAGAGAATTCACCAGACACAGAGCAGGGAGCAGAACAGGCAGAAGGACCAAAGCACACTGCTGAGGGGAGCAGCAGGCGAGGCAGGAGTGGTTTGCTGCACCATGTGAGTATCTCCCTGGCCGGCCGGGAATTGAACTGGTATTACAGAGGCTGCAGGCAGCTTCACAGTGCTGTGCCACTGTGGAGGCCCAGGTTTTGGGATATTTTTTTCCCAAAGGAGATCTCACTCATTTTGAACTCCAACATGATTAAGTAGAAGTAGAACTGCTGAGTTAAAGTAGGTGGACGGCTTATGAGCAACCTGGTCCTGTGACCCTTCATCTTGCCTTCAAGATGATCTCAGCTCTGAGCTCCAAGGAATACAAGCAGATGTTGCAGCTCATAAACATCCCTTCTTTTATTAAGGCTTAGTGAGACCCAGATGATTTGGTCACAGTCACTTGGCAGATCCAAGTCTTGTCCTCACTTTTCTTGACAGAGTTCTGTGCTCTTTGCAATTTATCTCACAGCGCTAACCATGCATGACCCACTTGGAGGGGGGCAGTGAGCTCCAGAGGCTGTAAACTCTTTGAAGACTGGGTTGGATTTAGCTTTTTCACTGCTGTAGAATGTAATGCGTACATTAGGCCTGCAACAAATATTTGTTGAGTAAATGAAATACACAATGTCATACATAGGCTTATCTCTGTTTCTAGGGCCTGAAATGGAGAAATGTGAGTAGTAAAGTTAATTCATCTTGAAAGATCCTCTTCTCCTGGAACTTTAGGCTAGTACCTTGAGAAGTGACTTACCGTTTTTATGTCCTTGAGTGTCACATTGTCCTTTCCTAGCCCTCTCCAGTTTGGTGTACCTCAGTCAGAGAGTTTTCACTTGTTTGGGATTAGGATCCTCTTGGTCTTCCTGTCGTAGGATAGCCCAGATGGCAGACAGTGTTTTAGACCAGCTCGTTTAGAAACTTTATATCTTTGGAGGTTAACTTTGGCCATGAAGACTCATGAGTTGGTCTCTTCTCACAACCCACAGGTTGAGGGGAAGGTATCCCCACAATGGCATCTCTCAGAAAAGTCTGATTCCATTTTCACAAGTCTGTTTCAGCTTTCGCTTTGCTACCAGTAGATAGCAGAGGCAGCATCTGTACATAATAGCTTGGCTGTGATCACTCACTGTAATTGCCTTTTAATAACTTGCCTTGAGAAGGGGGCTTGGGTGCAAAATCTGTGTTGATGTCAGACTTTCCACTGAGCTCAGGTAAAGATGGCAGCTCTGGGCAACATGCTTGATGACTTCCACTTGTGTCCTGGTAGGTACCTCTTCCACCCAGGTCTTGTGGGCAATCGACTTGGAGAATGCATACCAAGAGAAAGATCTGGAAAGCAGAAAAGAAAAAGTGAGCCGTCAGCGCTTCAGATAGCAGAGTCATAGACTGGAGCTCAGCTTGACTGCCAACTCATTCGCTAGGGGCTGGAGGTGTCCAAGTTCACCTTGTTTTTCTTTGGAAGAATTAGCAAAAGGTACTGGTTGGCTGACCTACTGGCTGCACCCTGCGGCAGAAACAGTCTGTTTAGGCCAGAGTGAAATGGTTAGTTATTCCTCTAGCCTCATTAGTTATTCCACTGCACTCAAGTTACCTTTCCAAAGAAGCAGCTACAAAGATCATTTTATCTTCAGTGCCAAGGGGTGGATCAGAAAAGGCGCTGCCAGCATTTGGAGTGGCTGGGGATGCTGGGTGAGTTTTTATACAGCAAATTGACCAGAGGGACTTTTAAAAAGTTGGCATTAGGACTTTTCTCCTTTTTCCCCTCTTTCTTCTGACAATAATGAATGAAGCATGTTAGACTTGTTTTCAATTATGCAACAAGTCCCCATTCATTAGAAACCAAGGCAGCGATCCCAGCTGTATTTCAGTGACTTTGAAAGTGCAGCTCCTTATTTGGCTCAAGGTTGAGCAATTGCAGTGCTCAGCATTCAGCTGCCAGCTCAGGTATCCTGGGAGTGATTAAAGGTCTGCATATTCAGGAAAATGCGAGTTTAGAGGACTCTGGGCTTGTCATTTGTTTCTGGAATATGGAGAACTGGGAAATAGAAGAGTTCTAGTTTCATCTGTGTTGCAAGGGAAGGAAACTGTTATTTAGCCTGGGAGTTGCACCCCTGGGGGGCCCAGCTTACCGCCTCCTCACAGTGACTAAGAGCATGGGGTTTGTGAAATCCTGTCTTGTGGGCAGGACTATTCAGGATGTCACCACAGATCTGGGCTCTTGAATACTGGGCTTAATGAAAGCACGACCCACTTTTACTCCTCAGTCTAAATTGCCATCAAGTATAAGATACATACTGATGTAATGGAATCTTGTTTCTTTGTGGAAGGAATTGGGGATTGGAGAGAAGAAATAGAAACATATAGTACATAAGATTACAAAATACACAGTACAATATCAGCAACATAAAAATGTAAAAAAAATGCATCTTAGCCTTAAGAAAGTAAATGCATTATGAAGTCATGGGGAAACAATGCTTTAGTTGAATTGCTTAATTAGATGCCACCATGACTGGTTCTTTTGCTTGTAATTACTCAATGGATCTTTGATGGCTAAGGTGATTTTTAAAGGGGTTGTTCCCTCTCAGAGAACAAGGGAAGGATGTAATGATGAACAAGGGAACAAGTAATGATGACCATATAGGGTACTGGGTGCAAGACACTCAGCCAGATGCTTTGTATGTTACTTGCAATTCTTTCTATAACCTAGAGACCAGGTATTAATAAACCTTTTTTTTTACAGATAAAGAAATGAAGACTCAAGAAGTTTACATGACTTAGCAAGAGATTACAAATCCACCAAGGCATTAAGATGAAATCTGAAGTATGCTCTCACTCTCCCAAAGCCAGGCTTCAAGGGTGGGGAAAGATGGGATGTTTAAATCTTGAACCAAAGTGCAGTGAAGCAGGAAGGGCGAGGCCTAGGAAGTACTAGGGAAGGAAGGACACCTTTGGGGTTTTGCAAAGCAAAGCACGGTTCATTTCCTTAGCTCCACAAGAACAGCAAAACTTAGGGTTTTTTTTTGCATGCATTGCCTTACTTAATTCTTACAATAACCTTGAGGAGTTATTTCTCAGCTGTGGAGAGTCCCTCTCTGAGGCCCAGACAGGGAGTTGTTCAATTGCTAAGTATAAACTGTAGGCTGAGTGTAGTCTAACTCCCAGGGTTTGCTGGTGACCAGTAAGTTATTTTGTACCAAAGTGACCTTGTTTGCCCTGACCAGTTAGGACATCTTAGCCATATTCTCTCACAGACCTGCTTTCCTCCTGCAGCCTCTGCTCCAGAACCTCTGTGGTTGGCTTGTCTGGCTTTGTCAAGCTGAGGCTTTTTTTCTGAGCTGGCGATGAAGGAGCCACGAGGTGGCAGTACAACATTACACAGTTCAAGCAAGGGGAGGGAAGAGGAGGAAGGCATCTTCCTAACTGCATCCACCATCTCAGCCTCCAAGCTCAGAGCCCAGCACTCAGAGCCAACCACAGCCTTAGTGATTCATCCTGCTGTCCATGCAGACATGGAATTCATTCCTCACTAGCAATTCTGAGAGGAAAGGATCCCAGAGGTCTTCACTGAATGCCCATAGTGGTCCTGGTGCCATGTGGGGCCAGAAATAATTGCTCCACCATCACCTGGAAGCACCAGAAACACTATCCATTTTTAGGTATCTTGCGTTCTGATCCTTACCTGCCCACCCCCCATTTAGATTTTACAGAATTGGTGAAAAGTATATAGTAGTAGAGGCAGGAGACTAGGAGAAAGGGCCGTCAGAGGGCATGGACTCAGAGAGCTTCTCCCTTTCTCCTTGCATGATATTAACCACATCCCCACACTCATTGCCTCAAGTATGACATGGGAGGACAGTGTCTGTCTTGCAGATTGTCGGGGATATTAAGTGAGGCAAAGTCATGAAGTATTTTTAGGTGCATAATCATGGAAACTATGTGTTTTCTTCAGATGTTAGTTTCTTTAGCACAGAGAGGGAGGCAACTAAGAGAAAGAACAAAACTCCTATCAAAGGAGGAAAGAGTGTTGCACAGCTGGGGTGGAAATCAATACCCCATCTACAGACAAAGGGAATTCCTGTTGATCTAATAACATAAGAGATATTTATGAGACAGATAGAACAAAGGGAATTCTGTCTGCCTGTCTCTGCGTCAACTTGTAGCTTGTTGTAGTACAGTGGCCAGAAGACATAACCATGTTTCTCAAGAGAAGTAGGAGGATAGACATAGAGCAAGTCTTGATTTCTAAGTATTCTTAGGCACCAGTTAAGTTCTGTAGAAGTGTATCTCACAAATCTGTCTTCAGGGCTGTCTGAATATAGCCCAGGGCCAGGAGCCTGTGAGCTCTTATTTCCAACCCAGGTCTATTATTAACTGGCTTCACCATTTTGGGTCAGCTGCTTAAGTTCAGTTTCCTTATTTTAAAATTGGGGAAAATTGTATTATCTCCTACTTTACAGACTGATCTAAGGATTACTAGGATAATGCAACTCAAGTGCCCAGTGTAGAGTGGGCTCTAGATAAGTGCTGGTCACTATTATGGATCATGTTGCCCAGTTACAATCAACAATAGTGCTTTTCATGGGCCAGGAATGCAATCACAGCTGGGGATCTGGGAACATCTGAATTTGCTCAACAAACAGTGAAGAAACAGAACAAAAAACCAGGCTCCACTTTGCAGCTCTCTGCTAAATGACATCCTCACATCCTCTCAAGCCACTTTCAGCCGAGCCCCACATGGCTATTTCCATATCAGGACAGCCAACTCTTAAGTTCTGTTCTTGGGAACCATCTGAGGAGCCATTTATGCTTTGAACTAGGGACACTAGCAAGCCAGTAGGGTCAGAGGAATCTGATTTTCCCTGATTCACAGGACAGATGCCTCCACAAATAGTGCTACTTCTTGATTTTCATTTTATTTCATTTTTTTATTTTTTAAAAAAGTTTATGCATACAAGAACTGGGGTACAGGCCAGAGGTGTGTGTAGGGGGGTGAGAGGATCCACCAGAGACAGTGGGGAACAGAACAGGCAGACTGACTGAAATACACTGCTGAGGGGAGCAGCAGGCAAGACAGGAGAGACAGGAGAGGTCTGCTGCGCCATGTGGGCAGCTCCCTGGCCGGGGATCGAACTCATGCTGCAGTGGCTGCAATGGCATCATAGGTTGTGTCTTAACCCCTATGCCACCAGGGAGGCCTTGATTTTTGTCTTAATCCCATTATTTCCTATTCTCCTTTCACAGAGATGCTTCCATCTGAAATCCAGCACAGTTATGATATGCAATTAAAAAATCCCCCAACAGATAAAAGCCCAAGGCTGTATGGCTTCACAGGAGAATTATACCAAACATTCAAAGAAGAAATAGTAGTAACCCTTTGGGTGAACATAGATGCAAAAGACCACTAAATTGAAGAGCTCAGTGGAAGGATCACCCAGCATGATCTAGTGGGATTAGCTCTGGGAGGTAAAGAGAAATCAACATAATACAAATCAATAAGCCTGGCATACCACATTAACAATGAAAAGATAAAATATGGTGTGCATCTGTACTGGAATATTATTTAGTCATGAAAAAGAAGGAAATCCTGCTGTTTGCGACAATCTGGAATTATTATGCTAATAAACTGGACAAGGAAAGAGGGGGGAAAAGAGGTGATACAGGTAAAAGGGTACAAATTTTCAGTTGAAAGTTGACAGTTCTGAGCGTCTAAGGTACAGCATTGTGACAATGGTTAATAATGTGGTAGTAGGTGCTTGAAAGTTGCTGAGAGTAGATCTTGGGCTTGATCCCAGCCTGCTAATTCAGAAACTCTTGAGATGTTGGAGCCCAGCAATTTTGTTTTATCAAGCCCTCAATGTGATTCTGCTGATTACTCAAATTTGAGAATTATTTTCTCTGATCTCAAAAATAGGTTACCTCTGGGCCTCCCCGGTGGTGCAGCAGTTGAGCGCTGGGTTGCGAAGTTGCCTGCAGCCTCTGCAGCGCTGGTTCAATCCCCGGCTGCTCCCTGGCTGCCGGAGGAGGGTCCCACATGGTGCGCAGACCTCTCTTGCCGCCCGCTGCTCCCCTCAGCAGTGTACTTCGGTCCTTCTGCCTGCTCTGCTCCCCACTCTGGCTCTGGTGAATTCTCTCACCCTCCCACGCTTCTGACTGTACCCAGTGCTTGTATAAATAAATAATAAATAAATAAATCTTTAAAAAAAAATAGGTTACCTCTGTCCATAGGGACGGTTTGGTACTTGATCTTAAAAGCCCAGCTATTGAGGTCAGATTCATGATGTTGTTCTTGATGGTCTTATCTATAGTTTGTCTTGTTGTCTCTGTATTTTGCCTGAAAAGGAACCAGCAGGATTTGGAAATCTCCTTAGCACCAAATCCAGCTGTCTTATTCTGCCTGCATATGCATAAATATATTTCACTTTTTCCCTCTACTACACTTGGTAAACTATGAGCTAGAAAGCGTTCACTGAAATTACCCTTTGAAAAAATTAACAGTAATATTTACCATCTTATTCCCTAATGATTCTTTCTTTTGGTGTTCCTTTTGCTGCAGAAAAACAAAACAGTGTATTTTCATCATCTCTAATCCTGAGGCTGAAAATTGAGAACCAATTGTGGATTTTGCATGTGTACATGACAGCAATTATAATTATTTCAAGTATTACAATAATAATAATAACACCAATGCAAAATTAATATATTAAGTAAGGCTAATACTACCATATGATTTACAAATCATGGTCACATTTATTTCCTTATCTAATTCTTACTTTTGCAATATGTATTCTTATTTTTAAAACGGGGAAAGAGTTTAGAGTGGTTATATCATCATCTAGCACCCTATGATTTTTTTTTTTTGCAGGGAGTTGAAACATCATAAGATTTTAAATAAAACTTTCTTGTGAAATAATAACAGTAACTAAGGCATATTGGGTCCTTTTTTTTTGTGCCTGGCATGGTGATTTGTGTTCTGTTTCACTTGGTTCAAGAAACAGACCCATGGGGCAGCAAATATTCCAATTCTCATTGAACAAATGGAAAGACAGTCTTCCAAAGGTTATATAATTTGCCTGTATCATACATTGTTTTAAGGAGTGGTGGAGCTAGGGATCTGATCCAGGTTGGTTTTAAATGGAAAATATTTGTTCTCAGTCTATTTTCAGGATTTCTGGAGATGGTACATGTGACTCTTACCCTTACCTTATGCTACTCAGACTCTTTGTCCTGTACTGGTTTTACCATCACACATAATTTGGCAAGACCAAAGAAAATTGGCATCTTTGAATGCTAATCTTTGACTGAAAAGCATAGAAGATGAACTTGGTTTGGGGAACAACATTTCCCTGATAGCAACCACTTTTTCCATAAAGTAAGTAGGATGCTGAGGTTGTAGTTACATTAATTGGCAAGTGAAAAGAACAAAACTGCAACAAGAGTAAAAGGCACTTTTTGGATAAATGGTTCTCTTAAAACTGCAGGAGACTAAAGCCAGTTTGTTCTGGGCTGATCGCTTCTGGAAACAGAGAATGCAGAGAAATGCAGAGAATGCAGAGAAAGAAGCAGCATGTACCATCTCCCCTTCGAAGAAATCAAATATGAACTGCAACCCATTATAGTTCTTAATTAGTAGACTATTATTTTTTAGAACAATTTTAGATTACAGCAAAATTAAACAGAAAGTAACCAGAATTTCCATATATCTACCTCTTTCTGCCTAATTCCCCCATTTTTAACTTGTATTAGGGTGGTACACTTGCTGCAATTGATAGACAAATACTGGTACATTATTATTATTATTTTTTAAAGATTTATTTATTTATACAAGCACTGGGTACAGTCAGAAGCGCCGGAGGGTGAGAGAATTCACCAGAGCCAGAGCGGGAAGCAGAGGACAGGCAGAAGGACCTAAGCACATGGCTGAGGGGAGCAGTGGGCGGCAGGAGAGGTCTGCGCACCATGTGGGACCCTCGCCCGTGGCAGGGGATTGAACCGGCGCTGCAGAGGCTGCGGGCAGCTTTGCAGCCCAGTGCTCAACCGCTGCGCCACCAGGGGAGGCCCTGGTACATTATTATTAACTAAAGTCCACAGTTCATATTAACGTTGACTTTGTGTGGAGCAGTTCCATGGGTTTTGACAAGTGTAATGTGGATATGTAACATACAATCATAGTATTAACCAGAAAAGCCTTTAAAATCCCCAGTGCTTCACTTACGCATCTCCCCTTCCCCATCTCTTAGAAGCTACTTTGTATTGTTTTGATAATTTTGCCCTTTTTTTGGATAATTTTTGATAGTTTTGATAATTTTGTCAAGTAGTTGGATATTTCAGGTTGAATTGTGTCCTGCTAGAAGATAAGTTCTAACCTCTAAGATCTCAGGATGAGATCTTATTTGGGGTTGGGGTCATTGCAGATACAGTTAGTTGATAATTATT